CTGTTACTTCAAGTGTCCACAATTTTTTTGTGGTGGGTGGGTGTTGGAGTCTCACTCTGTCATCCAGGCTCTAGTGCAGGGGCATGTTCACAGCCACCGGAGACTCTACCTGCTGGGCTCAGATGATCCTTCGACCTCACTCTTCCAAGTAGCTGGAACTACAGGCACATGCTATCATGCTCAACTAATTTTTTGTTGAGACAAGTTCTTGCCAAGTTGCCTAGGTTGGTCTTGAAAGCTGAGCTCTAGCAATCCTCTCACCTCAGCCTCCCAAAGCGCTGGGATTACAGTTTGAGCCACCACACCCAGCTAAATGTTCATCTTATTTAAAAAATAGTATCAGAATTCTAGTGACACAAAAGAAAAAATGTATTTGGGACCAACTGTCCAACAGCAGTGCATCTGAACAGAGATCACAAGACTCTCTCTCCTCAAATCCCCATTTTAAGATGCACCCTCATGTTACAACACCCTTATACAAGGCTGTGTATAAGTGTAATCAAAAACCCTCAATGAGCCGGGCTTGGTGGCTTAGTTTACAATCCCAGGAGTTTGGGAGACTGAGACAGAGGATTGCCTGAGCCCACTTGCTCGAGATCCTCCTGGGCAACTTGACAAGACCTCACCTTTCCAATAAATAAAAAAAAATTGCCAGGCTTTGTAGCTTGTGCCTATAGTTTCACCTACTTGGAAGGCTGAGGCGGAAGGATCACCAGAGCCCAGCAGGTCGGCTCCGGGGTGGTTGTGAGCATGCCACAGCACTCCAGCCAGGGCAGCAGAGTGAAACTCCAACTCAAAATGAATAAATAAATAAACCATCAACTAAAGACAAGATAGAAGGAGTAGAATGAGCATACTGAATGATGGAGGAGGGATGTATGCCCTCGACTACACAAACTGCCCCCACAGGCCCTATTTAAAATAGAAAACGCACTAGTATTGTGCATTGGTTTCCCTACAGCTCTTTATTCCTCCGTGTTCATAAATGCCATACTTCCCCCGCATTTTTTTTTGAAAGACAGACATGACTTTATTAGAAAAATAAAAAACAACTGAGGTGATAGGTTGGTCTTTAATGAATGCCTTGGTGGATGAGGCTGCTTTTGGCCGCACTAGCCTTCTCCCACTCCCGCCATGCAGAGTCCAACTCCAAACAGTGCCATAGCCTCAGGGTCACATCTGCTGCTGCTGATGCCACTGTGGCTCCATCTGGGCTCATGGTCAGACTCAGGACCCGGGATGCGTGACCTTTGAGCTCAGCCACCTTGGCCATAGTTGGGTACTTCCAAATAACCAGCTGGTTCTGGGCAAAGCCATGGCCTGAAATGAGCTCCTTGTAGTGGGGAGACCTGAGAATGGAGCACACCTGGGAATGGGTATCCACAGCACTCAGACAGGTCCCAGAGCAGACGTTCCATATGTGAATGTGTCGCTCACTGGTGCCCCTCCTGTTGCCAGGACATTGGACTGCCAGGGACACCAAGCTACAGCCTTGACAGCCCCTTGATGCTCGGTGAATGTTTGCAAAGGAACCCAGCCACCCTCTCCTGGAGCACTAGGCCGCACATTGACCAAGTTATCGTTGCCACCACTGGCCTAATGTCATCCATCTGGGGCCTAACGCAGTCCACACATTTCCTGGCTGTGGCCACTCAGTGTGGCCACATGGTGTTCCACCACTCGAACATTGTGGTGGTGGATATGGCCGGCGCGTGAGCCACTGGAAAGGATATAGCTATTCCAACTTAGGGAACCCACTGGAGCAGAGTGACTGGTCATATTTCAAAGCCATTTCTGCTGTTGCACATCCCATAGCTGCACCTCAGCACTGCTGGTGCCCACAGCCAAGTAGTTGCCCTCTTTGATCCAGGTCACAGAGGATACATATTCCCCAGGCTGCTCCATTTGCAACAACTAAAGGATGTTACCAGAGCCAGCATTCCACAGGTACACGCTGTTATTCAGTGCCACAGCCAGTACGTTCCCAGAGCTCCAATCCACAAGGTTCAAGTAGCAGTCATTTCGGACTTCAGGGGCATCCAGGATCCGGTCTGGCAGGGAGGGAGTGTAACGGCAGGTCTTTTGGCTGGAGCCAGGTGTGGCCTTCTGGCTGTAGAGTACTTTCAGTCTGTTCTGGTAACCCTCTGGGGCATTTTGTGGTTTTCCACTGATCCGTAAGATCTTGGCTTCCTCCACATCAAAACCGTTCAGATTCAAAGCCCAGGCTTTCTGATGTTCCTCCTTGGTGGGTGTCTGGTTGTCCTCCGGCTGATTCTCCTTGCTTAGAAGGAAGCTGGCCACCTCCATCTGAGAAGCGCTGTGATGGGGGATATAGCGGTCGCTGCCAGGCTTGCTAGGAGTGGTCTGAACTTTGGAGCTGGATTTGCCGGGAGTTCGGCCCGGAGTCCTGCCGGCGCTGTGAGATCGGTTGGCGGCCCGCATGGGTGAGGGGGACGGGCCTGCGACCTCCTTGGCCTTGCGGGGGGGGGATGCATTGGGGATTGGTGCGTCCAGCTGCAGAAGCGAGTGCAGGTCACTCTCGAACACGAACTGCACCATGGACGCCGGGAGGGGAAGGGGTCCTCCGTGCGTCGGTGCCCGCTGAGCTCGTGCACTCTTGATTAGGTTCCAATCCCGGACCCCCCGCGTTTTTAAAAAATGTGCTGATGAGCTCACATGTAATAAATCCTACAGGGGTAAATTGTTCACAAATTACCATAATACTGTCTCATTTCCATGATCATGTTTTTAAGTTTGCTGACAGTATTGCATATTTTGGAATCACAAATAAAATCCATTGGAACACGTGATGTGAACCATGTTTTATTTTTAATGCAGATTTTCACACAGGTTTGCACATTACATATAATGACATGAAAGCTGGTTCATCAAAAATAAAAAACCTTGTCTCTGAGGTCATGGAAATTCAGGAACATCAATTTTAGGAGGCTACTTGGAGGGAGAAATGCTCCCAAGGATTTCCATTTCCTAGACAGAAAAATTCTGCAGATAGGCCCCAGGGAGTTAGGTGGATCCTTCACTGCAGACGGTGAGAAAACTTTCATTCAATGCAGAGGGGCTAAACCAATAGGTTTCAAAGGCTTCCAAGTACCCCAAACCTGAAAGTTACCATCCCAAAGCTGAGTCACCAATTGTTCCTGAGGGATCAAGTTAACTTCTGTGTCTCTGACACAATGTCCAGTCAGGCCTCAGTTGAAATGAGCTGGATGATTTTAAGTGTAATATGCCTGAACCACACCATCAGCTTCAAGTTAGTTTCACATACACTGAAATGGGTTGGTAAAAATGGTCCACTAGGCCGGGCGCGGTGGCTCATGCCTATAATCCCAACACTTTGG